GTACTAAATTCTTGTTGTATTAATTTCTTAAACTTCAGAGAAACAGTATGATAATCTTTTGTCAATGATTTTGTTAATTTTAATTTAACCCTATTAACCTTACCCCTGGGCCTGGATGTTGATGGTCCATTAGCAATTAGAAAACAACCCTCTATTCTCATCTTTTAACAATTTTTTCGAGTAAAATAGTTAGCTGAGTAAACACTAAAGAGTCGCACAATCATATTATCTTATTAATTATATAAAAGGACACTTCTTATGAAAAAAAGATTTTTAGGCATTAGCTGTCAGATTAATTTCGCCTTTCATGCTCTCTTCTCAAATATTAGTTTTCATTATTCGATGTATCGTCCTTTGACTTACAAGTTGCATTGTATATTACAATGCAACTCTGCAGTTGCGCAACAGTAATATAAGTTACATTAATCTATGTATGAAATTAAAGATAGTGATCGACCTAAGCTGTTGGAGAAATAGCGACAGCGCTAAAATTTAATACGGAAATGATCTTAATTTCAGCTGTATAGCAACTGAAATCAGTAGATTTAGCTCACATATGCATATTGCATCATTTTAGTTTATAGATTATTTTATGTATAAAATGATCCTATCTATATCATATATGTAGGATTAATATCATTTTAGTTTTTAATTTTACTATTTATGCGACTAAGGAATGGGCCAAATTTATTTTTCAGTTTATTGCACTTTCGGTTTATGCTCTACAATTCTGGCTTTCGATTTCGGTTTTGAAAAGTGTTCCTATTCTGGAAAAAATTAAGAATTTACATGGAAATGTCATATAACATAACAGTATTAACAAAATTAACATATCCATTGTCCGGTGTGTCGGTACATGCCTGTTATAACGGAATAGGCCATGGCCGGCCCCAGGATATTTTGAACTTTTAATGAGATTATACCATTGAAAGAAGATAACACCCTGTATTTCTGTGGAAAAACGAACGTTTGTAGCTATTGTATTACTATTACCTGTACCAGGAAAAGGTCTTATTCAAACAAGGCTAATACAAACCGAAACTTATATAATTAATTACATTAACTAATTACTTAAATAAACTTCTGTAGAACCATGACAGTTCGCGGAATTTCGACAGTTGCTAGGTTACAGTTGCTAAGATTTCATAAACATTTAACCGTTGTATAATTGCATTGACGTTGTCCGTAAATCAGTTGATAACATTCATCATCCGTTAGCTGTACTCGGATCAGATGGAGGGTGAGAGCTTTCTGATCTGAAGAAGATGGAGCCGTCCAAAAACCCCACGTTAAACAATGGTGGAGCCAGCTTCTCTGCGTACCTAAATAGCTCTAATGTTGCCCGGAATAGTTCTAGAACTTATGGTGAAGAGAACTTGTTTGAGCACAGCTCGGTATCTCCGAGCACTTCCTCCCCACACGACTCCCAAATTACTGTCATTGAAGCCATTCAACCAGACCAATCCACTCACTTTTCAGATGGAGGTTTACATTCTCATAAATGTCAAACACAAGGAAATATTAATAGCCGTCGCGGTTCAATGGACATTTTAATGGACGAGCGAGACTCACTGCTCCTTGATCACATAGGGGACGTTATTTCGTATTACCAATGTCACATGAGATCAGGAATTATAAGCACCGATAACCACTTAGAAAAAGAAAAAGTCAATGATTTCCTTGACAATGACAATGAGAATAAAACTTCAGAAGATTTGTACCAATATTCAAACGGAAAGAATACATCACATCATGGTGATGAAAGCTATCTTATGACGGATAATTTGAGTAGTTCTAGTGGGACAGAGTCCTCGTCGTCTCCCTCATCACCGGCCGAATGTACTTACCAAGTCGATCAAAACAACCAGGTTACAGATAACCATTTCTCTAAATCAGATGAATCTGAAGCTTTGATTAAAGATGATTTCTTCCAATCAAATAATAAAATATCTTTGTCGGACAATATTTCTGTACCTGGAAATTTGTTGGACGGTCAATTAGAAGAGGAATTACAGCTTCTTGACGAGGAGCCTCCAAAATCTAAGGAAGTGACCGTAAGAGTCCGAAATCTCCGATCAAAAGCATTGTGGCAAAAAGCCCGTCCACCATCACTAACTTTGAAACTACAAGAATTACCAGTGGAAGTAGAAATTTCTCCGACGCAAAACCAGGGAGTCCCACTCATTTCTTTAAACCAAAACAAGATGTCTGGTTTTAGGGCTATGATGGCGGAATTGAAGGAGGCGCAACAATTAGAAGGTGCGAATCAAATATAAACTTACCTGCGAAAGAATATCAATTGCAGCTCCACTATATATTTATTGCCGGAACACTAAACTTCCGTGATTTTATGAACACCTAACTTCAATCACAAAATTGAACATTGTTTTGAAGCTTGATCATAAAATATTTTTCATTTATCAAGTTACCGAATAATATAATGTCCTTATTTTCAGACGGAGTACAAGGCAAAACGTCCCCTAAGGACAAAAAGAAACTCTTGATCAGGGCAGCAGTTTTACCTTTGTTACTTTGCGTTCACATCGCATTCGGAACCTACATCTTTATGGTGAGAGATGACTGCAATTTTAATTAATCCTCTTGTTTTAGAAAAGCAAGGTTATATCTACACTATAAGTTATGAAAGCTGTCCTTCGATGTCTTCAAAATGTTGGGTTCTATCAATGGATGAATGGATAACTTCATGGGATTATTGAAAGCGGAAATCTATTTTCAGTGGTTGGAGGGCGATGCCGAAGAAAAGGAAATGGAAAGTTTGAAAAAACAAAGGATTCATTTCTTGGAGCACACTGAGTGAGTTTATCAACGCAAATTCTTCGAACAGTTCAACTTCAATCAGTATTTTTAATGACCTTTTGCTAACTCTACCATCATGAAAACTCTCAAATAATACTCGTATTTTCCTCAGTCAAGCCTTTTAATAGAGCTGTAGAAATTAGGAAGAAATTTGTCTCGTTTGAGAGGAAAATTAATTAAAAAAAGAAAGATAATCAAGCTGACACACTTTCCCAGGAACATGCCGGATTCCCAGATAGAACGACTGACGGAGTTGATTGCGTCCGGCTGTAACAAGGACCACGATGTGTCCCAACCTGGAGCTTGGGGCTTCTGGAACGCCTTTGCTTTCTCCTTCACCGTCATCTCAACTATAGGTACATATACTGGAAAATAACAAAGGATGCTTACTTAGCTTTAGGCTCAGCTTCAATATTATTGAAAGGTTTTATCTTGTCAAAGGCAGATTCGTGCCGAAACTTCGGTTCATTACAATATTCTTGAAACGTAAAGTCGCTGGTAAATATTGCTTTTACTTATGATAACTCTTAAACCACCTGACTACCTCAGGCTACGGAGTGGTGGCACCTCATGATAACAATGGTCGTTGGTTCTGTATTGTCTACGCTTTGATCGGAATACCTGTGATGACAACTCACCTGGCTGTCATCAACTTGTTCTTCATGCAGGGAATCAACAAGCTGATGAAACTTTTAAAGCGTCTGTACAAGTTCTGTTCGTTTGATCAGGGGAACAAAAACTCGCGAATATTTATTAAAATAGCCATGGTTTCTTTAGCTTTTATCCTGTTCCTTTTACTTCATTTCACCATATTCTTCGCAATACAGCACGCTCGAGACCCTAACAGCGTCACTTCGTTCATGAATAGCACCTACTTTGCTGTCATTACATACGGGACTATAGGGTTCGGAGACGTGACTCCTCAGTCGATGGATTTCACCCAAGCTATGGAGGTGGTTAGGGTCCTCATGTTCGCGTCCACTGGCCTGGCTCTGGTGGCACTTTGCTTCACTCTCTACAGAGAGGCAGCTGACACTAACATGAAAGTTATTTCCAAGAAAATGTCAGTTCTCCCTTCGAGGATATCTTCAGTGCAGATAGCCTTTATAGATTCTCTGCAGCGGTCTATGACAACAAGGGCTGCTGCTGCTGCTAGTGATGGTGCAGGAGGTGCTGATCTGGGTTCCAAGAAAGTTTGGGGCCGGGTTAGTCTACAGAAGGTCTTAGAATCATCAGGAGCAGAAACGATCCAAGAGGAAGCGGGGTCGGTCCCTGCTATTAGGACCAATGGCAAGATGAGTCTGTGGTCACGTGTTAATTTACGTGATGTCATTGAACGCGGTGGTATTAGCAGGAAGGGTTCCTCCACCAGGAGCAGCACCGTCAGTCAGGGTTTTCAGAATATCCTAGAGTCTGTATCAAGGAGGGCATCTAGAAATAACGATAAGAAAATTTCCACATCCTCAGCAAGTAATAATTGTAGCAATGTTACAGATGAAGACACGAGCAAAACAGAGTCTCGCGGAGGAGCTAGGAAACCATCAGCTTGCAGCAAATCCATACCTGAAAGTAAAGCTGGTATTCGAGATGTCGAATATCCGACAACTCCAATCACCTCGAATGTTCCTGCTGATAACATCTTTGGTAGCTGTTATAAAGCTGACAATCTACCCGATACGATTAGTTGCAGTAGTTTGAATTCCGGGGCTAACGATCAGAACATTTCAACTCTTATTCGAATAGAAAGTGAGATAAGTCAAGCGATTGCTCATATCCAAACGGATGAGCCTCAGTTAGATAAAACAGATAAGACACTCAGTGAAAGTATAAGTGAAACTAGTTCTTTAAAAAAGCCCAAGGGCTGCTCTGCGGGTAGATAAGGAAATTAATAATTATTCATAATTATTAATATTATGAATAAAACTATATTTATAATGATTTTAATTAATAATATTTTATGCCACATTTTATGAGACATGTATTGTGTTTAAATAATAATATCGGATTATGTATGGCGAATATTTTTCGTTTTTCTTTTGCAACACGATAGTTAATACTTGTTTTATTGTCTCTATTTATATGGCTATTAGTGTGTCACGTGAAGTGAAAGAAGGATCAAATTAAATTTGTTGTTTGTTTACAACAAATTTACTTTATCAAGTATCGATAGATCTTAACGAGGCTCAAGTCGTCGTGGTCGTGGTCGTGGTTGTGGTTGTGGTTGTGGTTGTGGTTGTGGTCGTGGTCGTGGTTGTGGTCGTGGTCGTGGTTGTGGTCGTGGTCGTGGTTGTGGTCGTGGTCGTGGTCGTGGTCGTGGTCGTAGTCGTGGTCGTGGTCGTGGTCGTGGTCGTGGTCGTGGTCGTGGTCGTGGTCGTGGACCGTGGTCGTGGACCGTGGTAGTGGACCGTGGTAGTGGACCGTGGTCGTGGACCGTGGTCGTGGACCGTGGTCGTGGACCGTGGTCGTGGACCGTGGTCGTGGACCGTGGTCGTGGACAGTGGTCGTGGACAGTGGTCGTGGACCGTGGTCGTGGACCGTGGTCGTGGACCGTGGTCGTGGACCGTGGTCGTGGTGACATTCAATTGAATTTTCGTCCAGTGACCAATTAATGAGTTAAATGTGGTGTGGATGACCCCCAAATAAAACATGTTAAACATTAAAAGTGATATGTTTAAAAATTGAACAAGCTATTTGTTTGGTAGCATTTATGGAGACCCTTTCTCCGACATATCTTCATTGTGTTTTTAAACACAAAGCTTGATGTCCCCAAGTTCACAATATATTTCTCACTTGTTAACCCCCTGTTTGAGTTATAACCAAGGTATAAAGACACGCTTTTTTGTGACTTTCTTTGTGAGTCATTATTATTTTAGCTATACCTTTATATAACTGAACTATGGAAGTTAAAGACATAAAGTCTGACCAATATCAACCAAAAGGTCCGTACAAACTTTTCCATTGTCACTTTACTTTACAAACGAACAAAGCGCTTTCTTTAAATTGTATAGCGCTAATAACTTGTTTTATTATCTTCAGCTGCTTTTGTTGATACTATAAGTATAGTTAACAATATTTGAACTTGGTTTATTTTTTAACAATTTACTGTGGACTTCGTTTGCCTTCTTCACATAATTTGAGAAGATGATCCGGCTAGCCCTGCTTACTGCAATGTTAGCAGGCTGTTGTGTTGAAGCAGCCTTTGACGACGACGTTACCTACCGGGATGATTACGACGACGCTTGGGAAAATGAATCAATGGAGGAGTACAACCATCAGGAACATCACTTTAAGCACGAGAATGTATTACCAACAGATCCCATCAAGGAAGACTCTGAGAACTACTTGGAGAGACTTAGAAGGGCATCGGAAGACACTGAAGAGACGTACGATGATGATTGGATGAACATTGGACATTCGGAAGAAGAATCAGAGACCTTTCTGTACCAGGATGAAACAGATCTGGTACAGTTAGCAGAACGAACAGATGAACAAGGTGGACAAGAAGAAGGTACAGTAGAAAATCCCGCTATCAACATCAAGTACAGTTTAGGCAAGGTCTTGGAACCAGGTGATTTTATAGAGGTCCACGGAACTTACTCTGCAGATACATCCTGGTTTAGTGCCAACATTTTGGATGACAGTGGCAACATTCTGTTCCACCTCAACCCTAGACCAAACTGGCGGAAAACAGTGTTGAACTCTAAACTTGGTGGCTGGGGGTCAGAGGTAAGGTGTGAACTGCCAAGCTTAAAATCCTACGAAGATTTCGTCATGAAAATAGTTTTAATGGACAACTTTTACAAAATATATTTCAATGGGAAAGCTCTCTCAGCGACCTTTCCTTATCGAAGAGAGATTTCAACAGCGAAAGACATTATATTCTGGGGCGGTAATAACGGCTTCAAGTGGAACACACTTATTCTACCAGGAACAGATAAAGCTATCCAATATACGGGAATGAAAGAGTTTAAATTAAAAGTTGACGCATTGAAAGAAGGAATTGTTAACAAGGTCGCTGGGAAAAACCTTCAGGAGGTCAAAACGTATGCTAATTCGACTGAGGGATCGCTGGATGTCCTTCAATGGTGGCTCATGAAACAGATACAAGACAAAGCAGGGTTTCTTGACTTTAGTGATGAGACGCTGAATTGGATTCTAACAAACAGGGAAGCATTAGAAATGTTCATGACGTCGGGGGATATTCAAAGTAATAAATACCGAAAGGCTCTGAAAATACTAGGAGACCTGATCCAGCTAGATCCTGCTATCAAAGATGAACCACTGAGACTTCGACTTGCTGTTGCTACGGCAATCACACATTCAACACCAGTAGCCTCCATGGCTGTCGGAAGAAACACGATCGACTGGAAGGCAAGGTACCAGACCTACATGAGATGGAGTGAAGAAGATGTGCTGTTCTCACCATTCTTTGAAGGAACAGCCTGGCATCTCAGGTATGTAGTAGGATCCTGGCAAACAGAAGAAGAGCACATTTGGGCTCGGGAAAACACTCCCGAAGGTTATGATAACCCATCTAAAATAGGGGGCGCTACCCACAGAATGATGTCATACAAACTAAAAAACGATGACGGAACATCAGTCCACGCTGGTTCGCCGTATTACTACTACCTCCCAGTATCCCTCAAATCAATGCATGAGATTGGGGGTGTCTGTGGTGCTATATCAAAGTTCGCTGCAGGAATGTGTCATGCTTATGGAGTAGCTGCCGTCCCAGTGGGACAGCCTGGTCACTGCGCTTACATATGGTACAGAGGTGGAAACTGGGTGCTGGGTAACGATGTCTCTGGGTGGGGATCGTCAAATTCACATTGGGGAATCCAGTATACTTGGATGAGACAAGCATACTACTTCCGTGTTATGAATGAAGCTCAAAAGAACCTGGCTGGTTATAGGCTCTCTGAAAAATTGAGAATCGCAAGTAAGCTGGTGAATCCTGAAGATCGATTTGAAATATTAGAAGATGCCACAACCGAATGCCCTTATAACTTTGCGGTGTGGGTTGATCTTGAAAAGGCAATAAAGGAACCAAATCTAAATAAAGAAACAGTGCAAAATGCACTGCTACCAGTTGTTTTATCGCAGCGGGAAAAAGAAAACAAGTCGTCTGATATTGCTAGTGAAAAGATTGTCACTTCAGAATGCTTTGGAACCAGTAGTCGTGCGATGACAGATAAACATGGCAACACTGCCTATTGCAAACAGGAAACTGCTGATTTTGAAATTGATCTTGAGAAGCCTTCCACAATACAGGAAATAAAGTTCCAATGGTGGGGTTGGTCAAAGCCAGCAGAGTACGACATCTATGCTATGGGTGAAGATGGTGACTACGTTCTGGTGAAGACACACGAAGATGAGCGAGTAGAGGGTTGGTTCAACCATTGGAGTTATCTCAATGGATGGGACATGAAGACTACCAAAATAAAGATGGACTTGAGAAAAGGAAAGAAAGATCCGTGGAGCGGGAAGAACTACTTCGGCATCCGAACCATCAATCTCATTGGAATTTCCTACGATATTCTTGATGACGTGTCAAAGGGTAAGCCAGTTTCAGCAAGTGTTGGTAGTTCAGATCCAGATAGCCTGGTGGATGCTTCAAATTCCACCTTGTGGGACGCTGGTGAGAATGGCTGGTTTGAGATCAATCTCAGACAGATCTGTGCTCTGGATGACATTGAGTTCTTCTGGGCGGACGGTGAGAAACCAGAAAGTGTCAAAGTCACTTACAAAGTTGGAAGTGGTCAGGAGACTGAAGCCTCGGGAGAAGATCCCTTTAGGACGGTGCCTTTAGAAATGGACTGTGGAACAACAGTGAAGGTGGAAATTTTGGGAGGTAATCAAGTACTGAAAGGAGTGAAGGCGTGTGGAGTTTCATACAGTACAAAAGATATCCTGAAACTGAAAGTCAACCAGGCATACGAGGACTTTTACTATGTCAGAACCCATCTGACTGGTTCGATCGACAGCATGACCTACGAGGATTAATTAAAAAAACCCATTATTTAGAGACAATTTAACTATGTTTAATCGTTATTATATCGGTTAAAAACATTGATAATTAGATCTTAGAATTGTTCTTTATTCTCAATTTTTAATATTTTCTGTCTCTTTATATTTGCTTATTGATCATTATAAAGGACAATTAATAAACATGTGAAATTTTTATGTTTGGTCACAAAAATGGGAACATTTCTTTCTGCGTATTTCTTGGTGCTAATTATATTTATAACTTCTATCCTACAGTATTCTATAATATCCTTTTAATTTTATTATAATAATAGAAAGTAAATGGTATTAGCTAACAGTAACATTGATTTTTTTTGCATTTATATGGTATTAGCTAGAAATTTCGGCAGCCGGACAATCGTTCCCAATTTACTTTTAGATCCAGCTACCATGGGTCATGAGAAGATGACGAATCAAAACCAATAAAAAACTGCCTAATCGGATACAAAAATTGCGCCCAACTAATCACGGAATCCTGTTTTGTGATAGTAATAAAATTTAAAAATTTAGGAACCGATCGGATATCTGGCTCGAACTTCGAAGTCAGCAAGGGTTTCAGAGTGGTTATAGATGATCCGGAAGCGTTGGCTTTAGTATATTTGGCTAGTAGTACTCAGGTAAGGGACTCCAGTTTCGGCAGAAGGATGTTCAGATCCGGAGTTGATGGAAATAGAGTCTCCATCAGAATATTCTGGGCAGAGGACAACTGTTGGTTTTCTGCTTTCCTATTCAGAGAGTTGACGAGCTCCTTCTTCTCAACCATTTACCTGGGGACCTCAGGCTATTAGGGGTCGTTCACATATTACGAAATCAGCTGAGGGGGGGGGGGGGGGGGTAAAAATGTTCCAAAAAATGATTACGTAATATGTGAACGACCCCTTATGTTCATAAACATAGAGATTCGGCGGAATGACAGGCTGAACGCGGCCCAGTAACTCAACCATGGGAGCAGGGGTATGGTTATGCTCACATAATTTCAAGTGATCGTTGGGGTGTTTGGCACACCTGTCGGTTTCTGCTACTTGTGCTCCTATGCAACATACTATTCCAACCTGACGAGTGTGTTTCTCATTTGTGCCATGATAATGATCAGTCATGTGACTCCTCAAAATCATGCGAATCTTCTACATTTGATTAATCATATGATTCGTCGAAATCGTCTTGTTTTCTGATCGCCTCACGTGATCCTTGAGGCGAGGGGGATTGTAAAGTTCTAGACAAATGTTCAGGTTCTTCCTTCCACGAGAAAGAACAAATCAAATAACTGTTCCCAAATGAAATCTATCGTTCATTTAAGGCTTAAAAAGTGTTAGGCGACCATTCAAAACAGCACATTTTAGGGAAGCAATCGATAGAATAACCATCACATAATGAGTTAAAAGGGTTTTGAGCACACCTCACAGTAGAAAAGAGGTATCGTATTATGAGTGTGACAAAGTTATCCAAATAATAACACCATATTCTCCACATTTAACTCTATATAACACCATATTCCCTACAGTTTTACTCTATATAACACCATATTCCCCACAGTTTTACTCTATATAACACCATATTCCCCACAGTTTTACTCTATATAACACCATATTCCCCACAGTTTTACTCTATATAACACCATATTCCCCACAGTTATGTCACACGCTGAGACTTGAAGACGATACCCTCCCAACCCTCACAACCGCTGTACTTCACAAAATATAACAGCTCACCAGACTGGAGAGTTAGATAATAATGATATTCACAAAGCACCGATCATATCAGTGCAAGACTACTTACTTACTTAGAAGCATGTGAGAGTTATCATGGGATTATTTTGTTCCACGTGTTATAGGCGTTGAAGAGTCAGGTAGTTTGTGGACGGTGGTATAAAGTAATAATCACTAATTAGTACATATTATATTTCCATCAGATCCTTGTTCAACCCTCCAAGTCCAATGAACTGCTCCTCAATGTTATAATACTAAATGTTTAACTGACATACATTCCTATCAAATGCGTTTTTGTATCTTTATGTAAGTCAACCCAGATGAGTAAAGTTCGAGAATAATGCACCGCACTTATAGCCCTTCAATTGTAATACGACCATTAAATTAAATGCACATTGAATAGTGATCGCTTACAATAACAGCTGTGATTATTAGCATGCGTTTCGTTTGTAGTATAATGTACTGCAAAGTGTTTTTAAAACTAACTTATATTGAATATGTCATTGGTAACTCAAATAAAATTGTGCAATAAACTGTACGTGCAACAGCTGCCCTATTTTCCTTAAAATTAAAAATATTCTCTTTTACAGCAATACAGCTCATTATTCAGCCCCAAGTGTTTTTTACCCGTATTAAATAATTTGTTAACTCGTGATGGATAGGTCATTGGTAGCTTCAGTAACGACCGTTGTGCAATAAAGTGTACATGCAACACCTGTCTTCTTCTTCAGTTGCTCATTTTCGAATATGTTCGCTGAATTTGAGCTTGGAAAAAACATTTCATGACATAATTATCGCATAGCATATATTTATATTTTCTTCATTAATTTGATGACTAAACTTTTCGCAGCAAAACGATTACTTTACCATCGATTAAAATATTTGGACTTAAATTATTGTCTCATTTTGTTTACTCTGCACTCTGCAAAAATCGTTGTTCAGATGGTTAAACTTAAGTTTAACAAATAATCTTTATTTGATAAAAACTGTAACTATTCAGTAGACAGATGAGGCGATGTTCAAACGATTGATACCACTGATCTCATTCACCTTGTTTCGTCTTATCAACCCTGGTATGCCTTCCCTTCCTGACAAACCTTCTCCTGACGAACCTTCTCCTGACGAACCTTCTCCTGACGAACCTTCTCCTGACGAACCTTCTCCTGACGAACCTTCTCCTGACGAACCTTCTCCTGACGAACCTTCTCCTGACGAACCTTCTCCTGACAAACCTTCTCCTGACGAACCTTCTCCCGACGAACCTTCTCCTGACGAACCTTCTCCTGACAAACCTTCTCCTGACGAACCTTCTCCTGACGAACCTTCTCCTGACGAACCTTCTCCTGACGAACCTTCTCCTGACGAACCTTCTCCTGACGAACTTTCTCCTGACGAATCTTCTCCTGACGAATCTTCTCCTGACGAACTTACTATTCCTAACATCGTTAATTTAAATGATTATCATCTGGTAATTCCAACCCTAAATGAAGAGTCCAAAGGAAAGTGCCAACCAACCCACAAAATCTTTATCAAATCTGGAAACTTCTCTCGTCCACTCAATGTTATTAATACTAGTCGTAATGCAAATATAACGGAAGGTGTGTGTCAATTCCCGGTTAGCGCCATGGATCTTGTGCTCAGAGAAGAAATTGCTCCTTCGTGGATAATAGAAATCTCTGAAGTACCCTGGTTCTGCAAACTCGATAACGACAACCGTTACTGCGACGCAATTTCTGATTGCCTAACAGACGAATGTGGCTGTACCAGTAAAGAAGTTTTCTTCTGTCCAAAACGCACTGGATGTGTTACCTTTCCACAGTTGTGTGATGGTAAGAATGATTGTCTTGATGGCGCTGATGAGTGTTTATGCGAGGGTTTTGTGGAAGTAGAATGTCCTATCCTAAACTCCTCTAGTATTTGCTTGTCACAAAGAGAATATTGTGACAGAAAACACATCTTTTCAGAGTTAAACTATTCATGCACCTTTCGTAATGTTGAGTCTGTTGACTGCTCTGCAATTTCGGATAATGAAAACCGTCTCATCAACCCTATCAACCGATGCCTGAACTTTACTATCATACACCTCTTCAATGATAATGATGATATTTCCAGCTATTGTAAAACAAACTGCTCTGAGACTCCTGACTTTGATGATGAAAAATGGGCTAAGTTTTGCGACAGAATCGTGTTAACAAGTATGGGTATAGTCGAGCAGATTGATTTCACTTGTATGCCCAAATACTATGATGAAACCTACCAATTATCAAAACTATGTGACGGAGAATTAGATTGTTCCAACGGTGCGGATGAGGCAGAATGTCCAGGTCGTTTCTATTGCTCCCTCAATACCTCTGAGAGTACAGAGTGGGTGACTCCTGATAAAACTTGTGATAATATCAAACATTGCTCCAACGGGCGTGACGAATGTGATCCCTGTAACTCAGATGGGTTATCCAATCTCCTCCTCAGTTCTTACTTTCTGCTTGCTTTCACAGCTATTGCAGGAGTCTCAGCAATAGCACTGAACTTTAGAGGGGGGATCAGATGTTTCAACAGCAACCCTTCCACATCAGCCGGCAAAGTCGACAGATTGTTGTGTCTCCAGGTTCTTTTCTTTGATGGTAGTATGGGTCTGTATAACTGTGGTATTGTGGTCGCAGCCCTGGTTCTTCGTGCGAATGGCAACTACTGTTTTCAAGATGAAAGTTGGAGATCAAGTATCTTCTGCCAGGCACTTGGACTGACATTCTCAATAGCTTCACATGGATCCCTCAGTGCAATAGCCCTTATGAGTGTAGTCAGGTGTATTAATTGTGTCAGAGTACATCATCAAACCAAACTTAAAACAATATTTATAACATCTGCAATACTTATTGCCATAAATGTGATCAACGCATTGATTCCCATCCTTCCTTTGGTTGCCATACAAAACATCTTCCGTACAGACGTGTTCTTTAAAAACTTTCTAGATAATCCCTTCATCAGCTCTAGCTATGTAAACATGACCAGGTTAGACCAAATACATAAAAGATATTACTCTAACAAAACTGATCTGTACACAACAGTCAGGGACCTCAACACCATCACCAGTAAAGACAACATATTTGATATCATAGAGATCGGATATTATGGAAACACCCGTCTGTGTGTCCACAACGTCTTTAAAGAACAAGAATCCTACTTCATCTATAAACTCTCCTACCTTATTATAGTATCGCTACTTCTGGTCATAGTTACTCTCACTTACCTCATCATAGTTAGAAAGCATTTAGTTTCTCAACGTGAAGTGGGAGACATTGGAGGTGGGATGAACAGACAGAACGCTGCAGCCCCCTCATTAGCTCTGAAGGTTTCTCTGATGATAGGAACACAGCTAGCAAGTTGGTTGTCTTTTATCGGGGCTGCTGTGTACTTCCAAATAGTTAGTGATAGTCCTTCTCCCCTACTGTTTGAAGTGCTAGCTCTGGTTGTTCTACCCATCAACAGCATTCTTAACCCCATTTTCTACAGTGAACTGTACAAGAATATAAATACTCGTTTTTGGAGAAGCTGGAGAGGATTCACTTCAAGAATGCACTAGTGCATTCGATCTTTATCAAACAAGACCCCAAACCTCCCGACAAACATATCATGCACAAAAGTAAAGTAAACATTAAAGACCATGCGTCGAGACAGCAGGAAATTCACTTTTTGAACAGGGAAATCAAGTAGGCCCGTTTTTAAATGAACAAGAAAATAACACTCAATCTAAAAATAATACTGTACTTATCATCCTAACGTTTGATCTTTCTACCAATGACACCTTGATAAATTCTCTATCTTTTATTTCGTGTTTGCGACACGTTGCATGATATTACAATTACATACTTATTTAGTAGCTGAATAGTTTTTAATACGCTGCCTATCAGTTTGAATAAGTTCGGAAAGTTTTTACTTCTTACAATTATTTCGCCCTTTTATATTTTATTGCTATTTCTTCGGAACTGTTTTGATTTACATTTTTAGTCTAGTCACAATTTTAGATTGGAGATAGTTCGTATCAAATAAGTACAGTTTCAGAGTATGAATGTGTTGTATTAGTGCTTTTCATGCAACAAGTAAAACAAATCCTTTATGTCATGTTTCCAGGGTTTGGACTGGAATTTCCCGCTTAAAGAACCTCCATCACGTTACATTACATAATTTTCTGAAAACATATACCTTACTCGGGAATATTATAGCGGGTTAATTTATGACTGGGAAAATTAATGACCGGGAAAAATATGGCGGAATTTTCCAAAATCCACCACTTTATCCCAGTCATAATATTCCCGAGTAAGGTATTACATTTACAATAAATTATGCAATATCACAACATTACAATCAACAAAATAAATTTAATCGCAATGCAATAATAAGTCAAATCTTCATTAAAGCGTATTCTCATTCTCATTATCGCTAATGTTCCCGCCATTATCATTATTGATATCCCCCTGAGCTGCTGACCGTCAAATTCGAAGTTGTATTGTTGTCTTAACAAGACTTTCATTTTATCCGCTAATGGGGCTAATGCTCTGAAGGTCAGCCGGAGCTTAATTTCCTGCCCACCGCTTGGTATTGGGGAACGTCTTGGCTTTGCATCTTCAACTGCTCCAGTAATCAATCCACCGTGGACCATGAAATAGTGGCACAGTTTACTCACTTCTAGCGGGATGTGGCCACAAGTTACTTTAACGGGAAAAACTCCCTCTGTCTTTAGTCTACACACTGCACACGAGAAGCGATCAATCTTTAGAGACATTATTATTATATATATTATATATTATTATTATTTTCGTTTTCTTCTATAACATATAAATTGTTTTCTTCTCTCCGATTCACTGATTCATGGGCAAGAGAAGTGAGAATCACGGTCCACCCTGAAATCTGATTTCTATAACCAAATTGTGATTTTTATAACGAAATTATGGTAGCAACCGCCAATAAAGTTACAGCCCTCCTTCCACTGCTTCAAAAGTCTTCTCTAGCACATAATATGAGACTTCAGGTAAAATAGGATGATCACCACCCCCTTGGAACCCCATAATCTGAGTCGGCGGGTTTTTTATGGCTGGTAAAATTTTTGACCGGGAAAAATATGGCGGAATCATCCAAAACCCACCACTTTATCCCGGTTATAATATTCCCGAGTAAGGTAGTTAATACCTAGCATTTCATGAATACCCGGTTTCCAACAATTTGTAACCAGGGAAAATAAATGGCCATGGTCAGTTTTTACTTTTTGGTCTGCAGTCTAAGAAATAACACAACTTGCTGAAATGCTCTAAAAATTAATAATGTTTTTGCAAAAAAAACATGTTTATAAAAATATCATTATAATTTTAAACTTCTTCTCTAGATTTTGCGCTTCCTCTAAGTGTCCGGACATTGACAAGCGAATGGTCGATATACCCCAAGACGGTAGGAATCATCAACTTTTCCCCATCTTGATAAAGCCATTACATCCTGCCCCTCCTTCATTTTCCTTTCGGAATTGTCATTTCCAGCTTTCTTCTGCCAGGGGATGTCCCACTCTATCTTCTTACCATCGGCCTCCCAGACCCACTGCTTCTCCTCATTGATGTCGTTTCCTCCCAACCACATCCAGTTGTCAGGGTCCCACCTTTTCAAAGTTTCCTCTCTTTTACCCAGGAAATAGTCCATTGCTGTCATCATCTCGTTCAGCTCCCCACCTGACCTTATCTTAGCTAAATGCAGACCAGCATTGTCACAGGCCAGCTTGGCATCCTCCCAACTAACCTTGTTCGAGGAAATGATGTATTTTCCTTGGTAGTCACACGCGTAGGGGTGCTCCATGAACTTATAGGTGTCGTCCCACTCTCCATCGTGGTTGATTCTCATCTGGTTCTGGTAGCATTTGGGCTTTTCATCGCAACCGTTCTTGCGGTACTTCAGTGCATTCTGATCTGGCTGTTTTGGTGCCCATTTAGCAAAGTTTCCGGGTGTTGATCCATTAGCCCACTGCCAGTCGTCGTTGAGGTAGACCACTGCCTGGTAGGGTGATCCAACCACATTATTCACCTTCCTCAACCCAGACCACACCCATTTAGTTTTCGTCCATTCACTTTCTGGTTGTTGATCCTCTGGATATGTCATTTCTAGCAGCATCTTAAGATCTTCGTTTTTCTCATCTGTGTTAATTGTCACAAGGTTCCCCTTCACTGCTCCTGCTCCGATGTCAAAGTTCCTGCAGTTCTCCTGGGCAGTTTTGTAGTCCACTACGGTGGAGAAGAAGGCTATGTTACAAGTAGCGAACACATTATTTGGGAGGTTTGTTAGGAGGTCCCGGAGTCCCTTCAGTTGTTTCCTTTGTTTCCTTGTGATGGCTCCAGAGAGGGTTACCAACACACATAGCAGTAGGATGATCTTCATGGTCTTGCCGTTGAGGGGCAGTGCAGTGCTATGCTCAAATCGGTTCGATTAAAATGATTATATTGAGTGGTTTCTGCTCGTTAAAACTGCTGGGGCAAACAATAAACCAATTAAAGCTGAAAACTAAAGAGTAATGAAGGAGACAAAACACACTCATGACCTCCTTCTCTACTGATCACATGATCGTTTTTAGAAACAAAAAAGTGAAATTTAAGAGGTTGAATTATGTCCAGGTGTTCAGACCATCAATAGTTGAACAATTAACAATGCTCAAACCACACCATGCTATATTATAATTATATTTTATAAATCGGTTAATATCTAAAATCAAATGGTTTTATATTTTAGGAGGTGTCAAATCACACCAATTTTACGGTAGTCGGATTAAAGTTAAGGACTGCAATAGATAATTACGAAATGTATTGATAATGATAGGTCATATGACTAATAGCTATGAATTATTACCAGTACTATAGTATAATTCTTCTCACAGCAACTGATCAGATTGAATGTTTGGTTAAACTTTCTTGTCATTGTTAAAGGAGAACTTGTAAATTGGAAGCTTATCATGCATCCACCTTCGTCCCTCTCCACTCTCACTCATCACCTCGGGATTCCAGCTCACGATCAGTGACATTATTGTCTGGTAGTGATAACAATTCCTTATTAATGACTGTTGTTAAATGACTTGAACTTTTTATTCTAGAGAAGCCCGAACTAGCCGTTCAATTATTTGCACGAAAAAGCCTATTAATAGTATTGGACCAATAATTTTGTAATTGTTTACCAGCCTTGATGATCTTTTGTAAATAATTTTTGCTCCGAATATTTTAAATTGCCTTAGTCTCACACATGACACAGCACTAAAGACTTCAAATTAGTATTCATAAAAGCTAAAAGCTAGCGAAACTTAAATTTTATAAATTAAACAAATGACTCCTCACTCGTAGTCGTTGCTGAAAACAAAAACAAAAAGATTACCTCAAAGCGGTAAATTCGGAGTGTTTATAATATTGATAGCTGCAGCTCTTTTTGAAAGTTCAAGACAATTCGTGCACTTTTATAATATGTTATATGATGTAAGTCGTAAGAGGATTGTGGAACGTTATTATCCAAAAATTTACAGGGTGGGCCAAAGTCAGTACCCATACGTTGGGTCTTATAACCCCGCCGTGTTTTATATTTGAGAGTTGTTGCTTTGCAGATGGCATACTGTACCTACTTGTTCGAGGATTCCGTCACCAAAATGTGAAAATTCGATTTTTGGGGGCCACGCCCAATCAACATTGAATTGTTTATACTGGTGCTTGTGAACCTGTTAGAGACTCCGTTGTAACATATTGCAATAGGTCATTTAATCCGGAATAGGATATGAAAAGATGGTGCGAAACGGATTTAAAATGACGAAGTTATAAAGCAATTTGTTTATCTCGTTAGCAATGATTACCTAATTACGGCACCGTAATTGGGCTCTCTACACGATTCCCATAATGCAGATCTAGCCTCAACCCAATTACCTGATCACACGTAATGAACAAACTCGTTATGCTTCATATCTCGGTCATCTGAGAAGCTAGAACTCTCATTTTTCAGGACAAACGTGATTTAAATGGCCAAACACTATTCAATAAAATTTGGCTTCATCCGACTATCCAAACTATCAAATATATGCAAAAATGAACCTTCATTTGAAAAAAATGAACACGAATATTTTTCGATTTGACAAATTCCTTGAACCAGTGGTGGTAGTAAGTCATACCAGACAGAATTATTTCAATTGGGCACTCAGTGATTGAGCTATTAAGGCCAACATATGGGTACTGACTTTTGGCCCACCTTGTACATTTGAAGTGCGTGTTATATATTATATATTGAAATTTCTCAATTAATATCTTTATTTCCTAAATTTAGATTTAAATTTGAATTAAGAACACTTCTGTTAAATATGTAAACATAAAATTCATATCAACAATGAAACATGTAAATATTAATAATAATAATTATACAATGAATAAAACTTACAATTTGAATAAAATAAATAATATGACGAGTAATTATCGCATAGCATCTATTTATATTTTCTTCATTAATTTGACGACTAAACTTTTCGCAGCAAAACGATTACTTTACCATCGATTAAAATGTTTGGACTTAAATTATTGTCTCATTTTGTTTACTCTGCACTCTGCAGAAATTTTTATTGAGATGGTTAAACTTAAGTTTAACAAATAATCTTTATTTGATAAAAACTGTAATTATTCAGTAGACAGATGAGGCGATGTTCAAACTATTGATAACTCTGATAGTGTTCACTCTTTTTTTGTCTCACCAACCCTCATGGTATGCCTCATACTCCTGACGAACCTCCTTCTGGTGGCGAGCTTCTTTTTAGCAATGAACCTCCTACTCCTGACGTACTTCCTTTTAGTAACGAACCTCCTACTGCTGACGTACCTCCTTTTAGTAACGAACCTCCTACTGCTGACGTACCTCCTTTTAGTAACGAACCTCCTACTGCTGACGTACCTCCTTTTAGTAACGAACCTCCTACTCCTGACGTACCTCCTTTTAGTAACGAACCTCCTACTCCTGACGTACCTCCTTTTAGTAACGAACCTCCTACTCCTGACGTACCTCCTTTTAGTAACGAACCTCCTACTCCTGACGTACCTCCTTTTAGTAACGAACCTCCTACTGCTGACGTACCTCCTTTTAGTAACGAACCTCCTACTCCTGACGTACCTCATTTTAGTAACGAATCTCCTATTAGTATTCCTAACATCGTTAACTTAAATGATTATCCTTGGGAAATTCCAGCCCTAGAGGTAGGGTCTAAACTTAAAGGAAAGTGCCAACCAACTCACAAAATCTTTATCAAATCTGGAGACTCCTCTCGTCCACTCAATGTTATTAATACAAGTCGTAATGAAAATATAACAGTATAACGGAAGGTGTGTGTCAATTTCCGGTTAGCGCCATGGATCTTGTGCTCAGAGAAGAAATTGCTCCTTCGTGGATAATAGCAATCTCTGAAGTACCCTGTTTCTGCAAACTCGATAACGACAACCGTTACTGCGACGCAATTTCTGATTGCCTAACAGACGAATGTGGCTGTATACCAGTAAAGACGTTTTCTTTTGTCCAAAACGCACTGGATGTGTTACCTTTCCACAGTTGTGTGATGGTAAGAATGATTGTCTTGATGGCGCTGATGAGTGTTTATGCGAGGGTTTTGTGGAAGTAGAATGTCCTATCCTAAACTCCTCAAGTATTTGCTTGTCACAACAAGAATATTGTGACACAAAACACATCTTTTCAGAGTTAATCAATTCATGCATCTTTCGTAATATTGAAAATTTTGACTGCTCTGCAATTTTGAATAATGAAAACCGTCTCATCAACCCTATCAACCGATGCATGAACTATACTATCATACACCTCTTCAATAATAATGATGATATTTCCAGCTACTGTAAAACAAACTGCTCTGAGACTCCTGACTTTGATGATGAAAAATGGGCTAAGTTTTGCGACAGAATCGTGTTAACAAGTATGGGTATGGTCAAGCAGATTGATTTCACTTGTACGCCCAAATACTATGATGAAACTTGCCAATTATCTAACCTATATGACGGAGAATTAGATTGTTCTAACGGTGCGGATGAGGCAGAATGTCCAGGACGTTTCTATTGCTCCCTCAATACCTCTGAGAGTACAGAGTGGGTGACTCCTGATAAAACTTGTGATAATATCAAACATTGCTCCAACGGACGTGACGAATGTGATCCCTGTAACTCAGATAATTCATCCAACCTACTCCTCAGTTTTTACTTTCTGCTTGCTTTTACAGCTATTGCAGGAGTCTCAATGATCATACTGAACTTATGAGGGGGGATCAGATGCTTCAACAGCACTCCCTCCACATCAGCCGGCAAAGTTGACAGATTCTTGTGTCTCCAGGTTCTTTTCTTTGATGGTAGTATGGGTCTGTATAGCTGTGGTATTGTGGTAGCAGCCCTGGTTCTTCGTGCAAATGGCAACTACTGTATTCAAGATGAAACTTGGAGAACAAGTATCTTCTGTCAGGCACTTGGACTGATATTCTCAATAGCTTCACATGGGTCCCTCAGTGCAATAGCCCTTATGAGTGTAGTCAGGTGTGTCAATTGTGTCAGAGTACATCATCAAACCAAACTTAAAACAATATTTATAACATCTGAAATACTTATTGCCATAAATGTGATAAATGCGTTGATTCCCATCCTTCCTTTGGTTGCCATACAAAATATCTTCCGTACAGACGTGTTCTTTAAAAACTTTCTAGATAATCCCTTCATCAGCTCTAGCTATGTGAACATGACCTGGTTAGACCACATACATGAAATATATTACTCTAACAAAACTGATCTATACACAACTGTCAAGGACCTCAACAGTCAACACCTTCACCAGTAAAGACAACATATTTGATATCATAGAGATCGGATATTATGGAAACACCCGTCTGTGTGTCCACAACGTCTTTAAAGAACAAGAATCCTACTTCATCTATAAACTCTCCTACCTTATTATAGTATCGCTACTACTGATTATAGTTACTCTCACTTACCTCATCATAGTTAGAAAGCAGTTAGTTTCTCGACGTGAAGTGGGAGACATTGGAGGTGGGATGAACAGACAGAACGCTGCAGCCACCTCACTCGCTCTGAAGGTTTCTTTGATGATAGGAACACAGCTAGCAAGTTGGTTGTCTTTTATCGGGGCTGCTGTGTACTTCCAAATAGTTAGTGAAAGTCCTCCTCCCCTACTATTTGAAGTGCTAGCTCTGGTTGTTCTACCCATCAACAGCATTCTTAACCCCATTTTCTACAGTGAATTGTACAAGAATATATTATACTCTTGTTTTTGGAGAAGCTGGAGAGGATTTGTTTCAAGCAGGTGCTAGTGCAGTTTTTCCTTATCCAACAAGACCCAAACCTCACGACAAACATATGTCATGACAGCAGGAACTTCAGTTTTTAAACAAGGAGGCCCGTTTTTAGATTAACGAGAAACTAACAAGAACATTCAACCTAAAGACAATGTTGAACGTATCAGCTGCACCATTCCTTCCGTAGATAGAAAAGAGCTATACACCAGCAAGCTGGGTGATGTTGAATAATTTAGTAGTAAAAATGATCGTCCGATCTTAACTGTTTAAAAAAAACTGATCTTAACTATCTTTTATTTCGTGTTTGTGACACGATGCATGATATTACAATTACATACTTATTTAGTAGCTGAATAGTTTTTAATACGCTGCCTATCATTTCGAATAAGTTCGGAAAGTTTTTACTTCTTACAATTATTTCGCCCTTTTATATTTTATTGCTATTTCTTCGGAAATGTTTTGATTTACATTTTTAGTCTAGTCACAATTTTAGATTGGAGATAGTTCGTATCAAATAAGTACAGTTTCAGAGTATGAATGTGTTGTATGTATTTAATTCAATATTTACTTACTTACCTTTGTCATAACATCGTCATTACTGATTCAAATATGAATCAACCAGAAATGTTTTTCAAAAAATCATCAAACTAGACTCAATAGCACGATAAGAATAAATGATATAGTTATCATTTCATGAATACCCGGTTTCCAACAATTTGTAACCAGGGAAAATAAATGGTTAGTTTTTACATCTTGGTCTGCAGTCTAACAATAACACAACTTGCTGAAATGCTCTAAAAATTAATAATGTTTTTGCAAAAAAAACATGTTTATAAAAATATCATTCTAATTTTAAACTTCTTCTTTAGATTTTGCACTTCCTCTATGTTTCCGGACATTGACAAGCGAATGGTCGATATACCCCAAGACGTTAGGAATCATCAACTTTTCCCCATCTTGACATCCTGCCCCTCCTTCATTTTCCTTTCGGAATTGTCATTTCCAGCTTTCTTCTGCCAGGGGATGTCCCACTCTATCTTCTCACCATCGGCCTCCCAGACCCACTGCTTCTCCTCATTGATGTCGTTTCCTCCCAACCACATCCAGTTGTTAGGGTCCCGCCTTTTTAAAGTTTCCTCTTTTATATTCAGGAAATTGTCCAAATAGTCCATCATCTCGTTAAAATTCCATGTGATGGCTCCAGAGAGGGTTACCAACACACATAGCAGTAGGATGATCTTCATGGTCTTGCCGTTGAGGGGCAGTGCAGTGCTATGCTCAAATCGGTTCGATTAAAATGACTATATTGAGTGGTTTCTGCTCGTTAAAACTGCTAGGGCAAACAATAAACCAATTAAAGCTGAAAACTAAAGAGTTTTGAAGGAGACAAAACCCACTCATGACCTCGTTCTTTACTGATCACGTGTTCGTTTTAAGAAACAAAAAAGTGATATTTAAGAGGTTGAATTATGTCCAGGTGTTCAGACCATCAATAGTTCAACAATTAACAATGCTCAAACCACGCCATGCTTTATTATAATTATATTTTATAAATCGGTTAACATCTAAAATCAAATGGTTTTACATTTTAGAAGGTGACAAATCACACCAATTTTACGGTAGTCGGATTAAAGTTAAGGACTGCAATAGATAATTACGAAATGTATTGATAATGATAGGTCATATGACTAATAGCTATGAATTATTTTAACCAGTACTATAGTATAATTCTTCTCACAGCGACTCAGATTGAATGTTTGGTTAAACTTTCTTGTCATTGTTAAAGGAGAACTTGTAAATTGAAAGCTTACAATGCATCCACCTTCGTCCCTCGACCCTCTCCACTCTCGCTCATCACCTTGGGATTCCAGCTCACGATCAGTGACATTATTGTCTGGTAGTGATAAAAATTCCTTATCAATGACTGTTGTTAAATAACTTGAACTTTTTATTCTAGAGAAGCCCGAAGCCGTTCAATTATATGCACGAAAAAGCCTATTAATAGTATTGGACCAATAATTTAGTAATTGTTTACCAGCCTTGATGATCTTTTGTAAATAATTTTTGCTCCGAATATTTTAAATAGCCTTAGTCTCACACATGACACACCACTAAAGACTTAAAATTTCATCATAAAAGCTAAAAGCTAGTGAAACTTAAATTTTATAAATTAAACAAATGACTCCTCACTCGTAATCGTTGCTGAAAACAAAAACAAAAAGATTACCTCAAAGCGGTAAATTCGGAGTGTTTATAAACACTCCGAATTTACCGCTTTGAGGTAATTAACTTTATTATAACTTTATAAATAAAGTTATAATATTGATAGCTGCAGCTCTTTTTGAAAGTTCAAGACAATTCGTGCACTTTTATAATATGTTATATGATGTAAGTCGTAAGAGGATTGTGGAACGTTATTATCCAAAAATTTACATTTGAAGTGCGTGTTATATATTATATATTGAAATTTTATCAATTAATATCTTTATTTCCTAAATTTAGATTTAAATTTGAATTAAGAACACTTCTGTTAAATATTTAAACATAAAATTCATATCAACAATGAAACATGTAAATATTAATAATAATAATTATACAATGAATAAAACTTACAATTTGAATAAAATAAATAATATGACGAGTACGAAACACTCCAAATAATAAATAAAATAAACATTTCTCAAATCTAGTTTGTCACGAACCGCTTCAGTCAATTCTTCAAAAGAATCCTTTCCGATTTCTTCCCTAATAAATAATAATCCATATCTTAAATTAATTTTGTGTCCAAATGCGAATTTTGGCTAGTGACACCTTGGGGAAGCGTTTCAAACTCATTTGATATGGGATATGGATCGGAAAGCATCCAGATCCAAATATAAGCCGATTTATCACAGTTTTATAAAACTTATGAATACAAAAGCTTTGACAGTTTTGCAGCCTTAAACATAATTTAGCAAAGTCTTTATGTTCCGTCTTTTTTCGGCCCTTACTGTTTTCTTTTAATACAAAGACAAAACGTTTGGTTAACGCTTAGCTTTGATAAATATAGCTATAAATCACACTAAAAAAGACTGCAATGATCTAACTTTGTGTGGCTTGGTGGCTATATCTGTTTAAGTTAATTTTCATTTATGATAGCCTTGGTATTGCACTGTAGGTGTTTGAATCTTAAATGGCAATCTTTCAATATTGATTATTGAAGTACATGAGTCGCTCACAAAGCCCTAGCGTAAATGGTAAATCAAATTCTGATTGTTCTATCGCTGAACTATGTCAAGATACAGTTTTTTACACTCTAGCTGGTAATGTGGCAACTCCAACAGCTTTTCATTGTAATAGGTATTAACTGTTAAATATTACATTGGTGTAATTTGACACGTGATAAACTAGAATAAGGACACACAAAACGATCCTGTAAAATTACCAGACCACAATCACCGACACTTACAAAATCCTATCAGTTGTTTAAAACCACCCTGTATCTGGGGGTTCAAAGACGCGAACAATATGGGATTACAAGCGCTCTTCCCGATAAACAGCCAGTGAGCCAAGAGGGCCCACTTTATGGGAATGTTTATGGGGTGCTTTGAGATCCAATGTGCCAGTCCCGTCACAAACAATGGCATAGTGAAGAGCATATAGCAGCCTACTATAATGAACACAGACACGGTGACTTTCCGCTGCATGGCCGTGTTTCTGGAGCGGCGTATCTTGATACTCGCCTTCGCCTCGTTGGTGTTGGCTGCTTTGTGGTCTGCAGCCCTGTTCCACCTCCACTTACTCTTCTGGGGGGCTGGTCCGGGTGTGTGTTCGGGCTGGTGTTGGCGGAGTGTGCGGCGGACTGGTCCTTCGATTGGTTCTTCCGGGGAGTTCCTACTCACTGGGTCTTGTGCTGTTGAGCTGGACTCTGAAATTATCGGCATGTTATTTATAATAATTATAACTCTATAACGTTCTATAACCACCAGTCTTGGTGTTGGATAATACTTTAGATACCACTCAATTAGAGTCAATCGCTTTAGAAATCAGACTAAACTGCAGCTTAGCACAGAACAGCTTTGTAAAACGTTAATGCTAAAATGTTATAACTCCTAAAGGTGGGACAAACAGAATCTGAGAATTACTGAAGAAATTGTGAAATCGAACTAACCTTGGTAGTCAAAGGGGTATTTGAAGTGGACGTTGGAGAACGCAGTGGTGTCACTGAACTGAACTGTACTGCTGAAATAAACCTCATTAGGCACTGATCATGATTTGACGTGATCCTTAGAGCCAATAAGGTATGATTATTCGTGCATTTATCACAGTTGATAAAATGCCAGTAGTGTCACTACAAATATTAGTTTGTGTTCTTGCCAAAAACTTCAAAAGCTGTTAAAAATTCAAAATACAGGATGGATCAGAAACATCTGTTTATTTTTATTTTCCTCTTATTTGATAACGGCGCAATGCAACACTGTAAAAACAGAAATGTAGTATGATCAAATATGTTTGCGAAACAAGCCTAAAGTTTTGAAATATAATTAGGAAATGATGAGCAATTCTGAAATCATAAGTTCATACTCACACTGGACAAGAAGATGTAGCGGTCGGAAAGGAGGCCTGCTGTCTCTTGGACCTTGAGTTAAGACGTTTTCTTGTGATGATGAGCAGCTTGAAGTAGAAGTAGGCACAGAGAAAGACCGGAACAGGGATTGAGAGCATGAAGAAGGTGATGAAGTAGTATCTGTGATAAAAATAATCTGTAAGTTAAATCCTTGATTCAAGAGCCATTCTAGAATTTAATATGTTTGGAAAAAATAGGTGCAGATTCTTGCCAACAAAAATTTAATTCATCAAATTTAAAAATAATTTCATCTGTCGGAACATTATACCGGTGGAAAGCGTCGTTGGATCCCTTGATACCACAGTTGAAAGAGTAGGGAGAGTAAACGTAGGAGTCCCACCCGAACAGAGGACATGCTGCCAGGAGAGAAGAGTGAAGCCAGCTGAACACCAGCATCACCACTATCCGCTTGTGTGACATCACCTGGGAGTTTTAACGTTTCAATCAGATCTATTGACCTTTGTTTGGACGGATCTTGTTGTCAATTATTAACGGCCCGTAAGCCCTTATTTTCGGAGATTTTATGAAAGATTTGCCGTTGTAACTGTAATACTCATTATCATCCTCAGCAGAACTCTCGCAATATTAAGAATTCAACCTTTCCAACACCACTAAGTTTGAGGTTATGTAATTATGTCTAATTTGATTTATAAACTGCTGTCAGTTTCAAGCGAGATAGGGAATAACCGGAGCTCAAACTGCGTAGAAAATAGAAACCTAATTTTCTCAAATGCACGATTTACGTAAATATAAACTGTATCGATGAAGGGCATTAATATAAATGTCAACTCCTATCACGCAATGTCTCGAAGTTCGAGTAAAAAGTGCTCGAAACTTAGCCGCCGGATTTGTCGGTCCTCAATACTTCAATAACAGGATTTAAACTCTCAACCTTTAGCACAGAATGTTGATGGATACTTCAGCTGGCTAATTGGTCTGAAGACTCAGCACAGTGACATTTAGGCAGAATATCGAACCTTCAAAACGTGCTCCCCGATATGAAGACAGGTAAAGATATGATAGCCTGATAAAGACATGTCAATTCTAGATCTGATAACCTGATAAAGACATGTCAATTCTAGATCTGATCTTAAACAGATGGCACCAAGGAAGCCTGTGTAAGGTATCTAAGGTAAAAATGGCGAAATTTGCATTTGAGGGATATTCTGCGCCCTGAGGTATGTGACCTGAATTGGGATCCCCATTACTTAAATTTCTTATCGGTCGTGTCAAACTGTCCAATGTCCAAGATCATCGATATTTCTAATTTTATTCCCCCATAGTATCATTAGAAAATGAAAATTTTAATCGATAATACCAAAACAACAAAACATGCACAGCCAGACATTGATTATCATAATTGAAAAAAATTGGAATTTTAAAAAAATCAATAAACCTCTTTTTATTACATTGCCGTAGTATAAGTTATAAGTAATATAATGTTACCTTGAAGTAAGTGAATGGATGGGTAACGAAATAGTATCTGTCCACAGAAGACATTGCCATAGTCCATAAGGAGGAAACCAGCGCTACGTTATCCAAGAAACCTGACGTCTGTAGGGGGGATGCGTATAAAAGCATAATTTATACAAAAATATAATTTATGCTAACCCCACATTTTAGATATCAAGCTGATTTAGAAATAACTTCGAAAAAATTGATAATTTGTCTATCTAAGCATGACACTAAATCACTAAAAGGTTAAGAATTTACATTGCAAAGATCAGCTCCAAAGACCCATTTATTCTGCAGTACTGAGGAGGATGTTATGGGCATCGTTAACACTCCTGAGGGAGACAATTTTAGTTTTATCGCTTCTAAGAGTGAAGGACATTCATTTTAATTTCAATACCGCTCATGGAGGATACAAAACTATTGGGAGTAAAAATTTAAGTTTCAACACTTATCATACTGGATATCTTATTTTAATTTTAACAGTCACGAGGAATCATATCGAGTATTATTACCGACAATGAAGTCTGCGATCATGAGATTGATGATAAATATATTGTTGCGACTTTTAATCTTCTTGCTGTGAATAGTTACACTGGCCACCACTAAGAAGGAACCTGAAAAACAGAGTTCTATTTAGAAACCATCACAAGGGACATGATAATCGTACTAGTAAAAGTGCAAATAACATGCTCGGCAACGATCATACCCGACAACAAATTCGATATCGCACGGGACAGTATTTTGTATTTTGAATTTAATTTTTACAAAATTGTGACACTCAAAGTATTTAACATGTTATAAATTTCAAATTTCAAAGATTAAATCGGCAAAATATCGAAGAATTGCTTACCGCAAATGGTGATGATGGAAAATCCAACCATGGAGACACCCAACATTAAGCGGTCCGAAAATCGAAGGAGATCCGGTACAACCTGATCACTTTCCATTCTGATAGGACTTTGCTAAACATGCATAATTGTTACTATTGTTGATTGTAATATTCTCTAAAAGTTAAATTAAATACTGAAATGAAATGGTAAGAGTAAGACCACATAATAGACGATCATATAGATTTGTATAACTGTATACGATCATATAGCCTGGCTATAATACGGAAAGGCCATACACGAAAGAAGCCACAGTGAACATCACTGTTGAAGACACGCCAGTGCAGCAAGTTAGTGACTTTACGTACTTAGGTACAATTATCTCCAGCGACGGTACTATCGACCGTGAGCTGTCAGCTAGGATTCAGAAAGCTTCCGGAGCCTTCAATCAACTGAGTAATTATATATGGAAAAACCGCAACATCCAGTCTTATACAAAGATCAGGATTTATAAGGCAGCGGTTTTGACAATATTGTTATATGGTAGTGAGGTTTGGAACACAACCAAAAAGCAGCTACATCGCTTTGAGGTGTTCTATCAGCGTTGCTTGAGGAGAATACTTAGGATAAGATGGCTCGATCGGGTTAGAAACACTGAAGTGCTGGAGCGTGCAAAGATAAATCCAGTAGAGACGTTCATAGGAGCAAACCACCTGCGTTGGTTTGGCCATGTCACCAGAATGCCAGGCACTAGGCTTCCTAAGTACCTGCTTAACTGGACCCCTGCGCATGGGAGAAGATCTAGGGGCCGTCCAAGAAAGAACTGGAGGAAATGTTTGCTGGAAGATGCTGCAGCGTTTACAGGAAACACTGACATAGACCTAGACGGAGCGAGCGAGATGGCTAGTGACCGAAAACTTTGGAGGGAGATGATACGTCACAAACGGGAGTTCATTGGTGCAGGCCACTCGAATGATTGAGGAGACCTAATCAAGTACAATTAGTAGTATAATACGGAAATAATTAGGGGAGAGACGCGGCTTTCAATTTACGTAAATTGCTCACATCAAGCTAATGATTTAGAATATTTCAAAAGTATTAGGTAATAATAATCTAACCCACCATAATAGCAACGTATTATTTTACGAGAAAGCAGTTTTGAAATCAAATTAAAGCTCTAGTGACTGGTTATTAAATTGCTCGAGTATCAATATCATAGACATAACCATATAGCGATTGTGTCGGAATTGTGTCGATTTTGATTGGCTTATATTCTAGGGTTGCACGTCAGCGGTAATGGTTATATGTAGTATTTAAAATTTATCAAATGATCAGGTGATCTTTTTAAATGATTCTTAAATCTTTAAGTTTAAAAGTTTAGCAGTTGACTGACTTGAGTGTCGATTGTCCAAGAAGGAAGTGAAGCGAATCCATGATCGAGAACAGGTAATATATAACGCGTAAGGGAAATTGTTTTGCATGGTACACAGTGTTTGTGGCCTTCTTGAATTCAATCACAACTACTGATCGATTTCCTTTTACTTATCAACCAGTACTAAGTTAAGACAAAAATAAAAGACGACTTAAGCGGTTCATGGAAAGATAGCACTTATAGCAGTTGTACCTGTAGGCGTAATATAGCGACAGGAAGTATTTAAAATTCTTACAACAAGAAAAATCTCCAAACTACCAAACCAGCTATATTTAATTACTACTGATGGATCCGAATAAAGTTGGGACTGGAGGTTGGCATCAATATACTCGACTTGGCTAAATATGATTTCGATTTCTTGGGCTCCCTCTCCATCGCTAAAAATCTCAAAATATAAAATACCTGGACATCAAAGAAATAAAACCTTTAATTTTAAACTTATTTGCCAGAACATCAGCCAGCCCGGGAGCAAGGCTATTAGAAATGAAGAGTTACATGGTACTGGCAATTTAGGAGATGAGTGTTTGATCACATGCTGGAATCACGTGCTAGAATTACGTGCTGAATCGCGTGTTTAATCAGAGACTCCTCTCAGTTGTTGGGCATCAGTTGTGAATGTCTGCACTCGATGCAATACCATACCATTATATAATACCGTAATTTTATTCAGGCAAACTTGAGCTCATGATAACAGTGCTTTGAACTCTTTACCGGGCACGGCGCTCAGCATGTCATTTCACCATATCTTCAATCGGTGTGTTTATAGGTTTATGAACACAAAAGCCTGAGGTCCCCAGGACCTCAGGTCCTGGAGTGTACCAATACTCTGCGACAGAGAAGCTATCCTATTTTCCGTGCAGCCGAGAAATTGGAGGAAAGTTGACAATAAACCAGCCCCGATTATTTGTTGGGTTGCCCTGCAGTCGGATATGGTCAATCGGGTATGTTGCAATTAATCCCTACTAGCTTGGAGTAAATTGGAAATGGTTCCGATAAATCGGGGTTTGCAGGAGTATTAAAGCAAAAGGTTGAGTTTTACTGTAAAAGGTTGAGTTTTACAGCAAAAGGTTGAGTATTACATCAAAAGGTTGAGTTTTACAGCAAAAGGTTGAGTATTACAGCAAAAGGTTGAGTTTTATAGCAAAAGGTTGAGTTTTACTGTAAAAGGTCGAGTTTTACAGCAAAAGATTGTGATACAAAAGATCGAATAACCACACTGTGACAAAATTAGCAACGAGTCAGATGATAAAAATAAAACAATGCGGTTCCAAAGAGTAGTGGCCGAACACCACGTTCAAGGAGTGATTAAAGTTGAGTCCTTACAGTAACTCCTCAACTTTAAATCCAATAGCTGATTTCCAGAAGAATCTTTGAGTCTGTACTATGAGTATGAGTAGTAACCACGGACAAATGTAATATCATATTGGTCGGAGAGACCTCGGCCACTGAACGCGTTCAGAAAATAAATTGTTCCCATGGCCAGAGTTTTAATCAGCCACAAGATGAAAGTGAAGCCTTTAATCAGCGAAAAAAAAACGCATTTCAATATTTTGTGGCGAGGGACTCATCATTGGATAACGACTCATCCACCGTTTTTTCATTTAACAATCATAGATTGCTTTCTTCTCGAATAAGTTTCATCACCATTCATTGGGCTACCGTTCTACCGTCGATGTTCAGTGCAGAACGGGTATTGTATAACTGTGCGTGTTGTCTTGTTAATGAGATTGCACTTTTGAAACATAACGATATTAGATTCGCAAGATGACATTACGCAACCAGTCTGCAGTCAACCATTGAAAATCATGATTTCTTTTTTTGCCTCCTAATTTACCCCATCTGTTGATGAAGCCCGTGCTCCAAAGCAGTTTTACGGAATGAAATAGAGTAAAGCTCAAGTACTGTGATTAGTGGGACCAGATTGTGAGAGACTTGGAGGAAGTCGAGGGATTTGGCGAATATTTGCGAAATGTGCGGCGAATTTTCTTCAATTCCGAAGGTCTTTTTGTGTTGGAAAGCTGCTCAAACATTATAACATATTGGGGCGTGTTTTACAATTCTTTCTATAAGAACGAATGCACATGCATTAACTCTAAAAATCGTGCTATTATAAACACAAGGAAACCTTTAATCATTTCATCCTATTAATTTATTAAAATGGGCTAAACTATTTTAGACGTTTCCAAAAATAACAGCCGTCATAATTGATGAACAAGCATGACACCCAGGTGGAGAAAGATTTAACTGGACGGTGTTCCGCCCCATTTCATGACAGAAGTCATAGTACTCCCGCCCTACGGTAAATCTATTTATTAATACTGTGCTCTCCAGCACGCATGGCCGGTTAATTGGGTAGTGTATTCTTTGCAGCATGGCTGCACTCTGCAGTGTACTGACTGCTGGGTGCAAAAAGCGGAGACTGTAATTGGGTAATTGTTCGTAACTTATGCAAGTTTTCGTAAGAACTGCACTTGCTTACAGGCTTACTGCACTTACTGCACTTACTGTACTTACTGTACTTACTGTACTTACTGCACTTACTGTACTTACTGCACTTACTGCACTTATTGCACTTACTGCACTAACTGCTGCATGAGCACGGTCGTGCATCTTTCAACTGCACTTGCGCGGTCGTGCATCTTTCAACTGCACTTGCGCGGTCGTGCATGTTTCAACTGCACTTGCGCGGTCGTGCATGTTTCAACTGCTCGGTTTTTAGTTAATCCTCGTTACTTTACATGTCCATTGATCGTATGTGGTTGGAATAAACTATAAAGTGCCGGTTTCCGCCAGCTCGAATCTCGTGCCGTGTTTCGCCGTACCGACCTCAAACAATGTTAGACCCTGGATATATTAGAGTCTAACAAAAATATCCAAGGTGGTGTTTTCTGCAGAATAAGGGCAACAACTGTAACCAATGTTGGCGCTAGTAATCATCAAGCAGAGCCACTGTATAACCCGACATCAGCCGCTCAGAGGTTTAACACCTAAAAAGGCTACACGATCTCTTACTCTCTCTCGTTACTCTGGTTTGAGTGGTGTTGATGTGTGCTATTAGTAACGTCCTGATTGCTGGGCAGCCTCTTCTTCTTGACAAGTTTAACCCCACACCTAGCATTTTGCTTTGAGTTGATAGTGTAGCGCGAGAGGAAACTTTTAATCGCGTTTTGGTTTTTCGTAGGTCGCATTTTTTTGCATTTTGGTTTATGATAGGTTTGAGTGAGGGTTTGAATTTTTGGAAATTTCTATACCTTGTAGAGTCTATCATCACTTGGACCGATTTAGAAAATTTCTTGTATACACATTGTTCATCAGGGTATGAGGAGGTTAATGGAATGATTATTTATGCATAACTGTTAATTACTAAGTTTTCATAACTGTTAATTATGTGATGCTATTTAGTGCTACAGCAGTACTAGTACACTGTACCCCCATACTATAATACACATTCTGGGATACCTTTATATCTTCAAGTTCGTTAGTATTCCGTTAGTCTCTTAGTTAAATAATAGGTTGTCTACAATTATCGGCAGCTTTATTGTCTTTGAAGTCGTACTTACAGAATTTTTGTAGCCAGCATCATCAGGATCTGACATCATTCATGTTTTCCATGTTATTCTTATTATTCATGACATTCATACTGGAGTAAACTGAGATACCACCCTCGGTAAATTGGTATTTCCTCTAA